CCATTTTATGTAAAAGGATATGTAAAATAAATTTTTTAGTGTAAGACTTCAATATAATCCATTACAACTTTCTATGGTGGTAAAAGAGAACTCTATAATAAAAATGAAGTTCGGCCGGCCCCGTGGCTCACTTGGGAGAGTGCAGCACAGGTAGCTCCGAAGCCACAGGTTCGGATCCTATATAGGGATGGCCTCACTGCTGAGCGTGGTGCAGACCACACCATGCCAAGGGTTGCGATCCCCTTACCGGCCAAAAAAAAAAATGAAGTTCTACCTTTGTTTTGCTGTATACATACATACATACATACATATACGTGTTTATGAGTGAGTTTGGTCATTCTTTTCCTCTCATAGTTTTTTTTTTTCTTTTAATATTTAAATCTTTTTTTTTAATTGAAACACTATGCAAGTTTTCAAATACTCAAGGACCAACTGAAAATATGTAGTATATAGAAGAGGATCTTCACAAATGTAAATGCAGTCAATGGTTTTATAAATTTAAATTGCATAATTAAATTTTCATCCAAAATAAAATCAGGGATATTTTTTCTTAAGATTTAAAACATTTAAAATTGAAATTATCACTATCTGGAGTGTGCAATCCAATTTTTTTAGATGCACATATTTTTTTAGGCTCTTGTGGGTACCATTGCTTAGTAATGTGCTCAGATACTCTTGAATATGTTTCATTTAAAACGTATTTCTAACTAAAATATTAGAATGTTTATAAATATTCTAATAAATAAAATATTTGAATATTAAAATATTTCTAACATTTTTGCCAAAAGGTGAGGATTTAAATTTAAAAAGTAAAAAAGCAACAAAATAAATCTTCGCTTTTTCTTCTGTCCAGCTTAAGCAGGGATAACTTCTTTACTTGGAATGCAAGTTTGCATCCACGTTCTTAGTCTGTCTTATGGATTTATGCCCGTTATAGAAATGTTGATATGATGCTTTGTTTGGTAATGAATTTCTGTTATACTGTTTTTCAGGTCCTGTAGGCGTAGGGCTGAATGAACTGAAACGAAAGCTGCTGATCAGTGACACACAACACTACGGTGTGACAGTGCCCCGTGAGTTCTGACTATTCAGTGTGACTCCAACTACACTAATAATGATTGATATATATTTTCAGAGCATGTATGGTGCAAACACTATTCACCCATCTCAACCTCCCAACAACCCTATGAAGTAGGTAGCGACATTATTCACATCTTACAGAGAAGGAAACCGAGGCATAAGAGGTTAGGGATTTGCCCTGGATTACACAGGTTATTGGCAGAATATTTGTTAATCACCACTTCCCTTCTCTTGGATTTTTTATGGTGAATTTTAATATCTATATATGAGACATCAAATTATTATTTACAGATTTTCTTCTAAATGAAACTCTAACTATTCTATTTCCTAAAATAAGTGCTAATGTTTTCCAGAGTTTTTCACCAGCTTCAAGATGAGAAAGCCCAAACCACAGAGAGCGGAAGGAGACTGTTCATAATATGAACCTTTCTTAATTACTTTTTATATGTAGTAATTGGCAGATAGTGTTAAATAGGCATATTTCATGGCCATATCTTTCTAATATGGTAGGCTTCTGTTCAGCACACAGAATTAGATCTATTTTTATAAAAGTGGTTTTCATGGGCATTCTTACAAATGAAATCTGATGCTCTTAACATTTTGATCTCCAGAATAAATGCCATTTGACTACTTAATATGTTGATGTTAGAAAGCTGTCTAAAAGGCTAAATTGAAATGTTGGCTTTTCAAGTGGTTTTAGTACTGTTAAAAAAAAAAAAAATCGTTTGTATATTGCCCTTAGCAATGTTCTCTAGTTTTGGAAGAGTTCAACTTTATTTTAAAATTAATGGTTTTCTATTACCTCGAGTTACTTCTTGTTACTACATTTTTCCAAATTATTGTTTGTAATCATTTTCAGACATAAGTTATAAGACTGCTGGTTTCCACCAGCAGAGATGAAAGTAAAGGAAAATGTGGAATTAGACAATTTCTTCTTTTTTTTCCTTTAATTATTTACTTCTCTTACAAAAATTACACAGGTTATTGGCAGAATATTTGTTAATCACCACTTCCCTTCTCTTGGATTTTTTATGGTGAATTTTAATATCTATATACGAGACATCAAATTATTATTTACAGATTTTCTTCTAAATGAAACTCTAACTATTCTATTTCCTAAAATAAGTGCTAATGTTTTCCAGAGTTTTTCACCAGCTTCAAGATGAGAAAGCCCAAACCACAGAGAGCGGAAGGAGACTGTTCATAATATGAACCTTTCTTAATTACTTTTTATATGTAGTAATTGGCAGATAGTGTTAAATGGGCATATTTCATGGCCATATCTTTCTAATATGGTAGGCTTCTGTTCAGCACACAGAATTAGATCTATTTTTATAAAAGTGGTTTTCATGGGCATTCTTACAAATGAAATCTGATGCTCTTAACATTTGATCTCCAGAATAAATGCCATTTGACTACTTAATATGTTGATGTTAGAAAGCTGTCTAAAAGGCTAAATTGAAATGTTGGCTTTTCAAGTGGTTTTAGTACTGTTAAAAAAAAAAAAAATCGTTTGTATATTGCCCTTAGCAATGTTCTCTAGTTTTGGAAGAGTTCAACTTTATTTTAAAATTAATGGTTTTCTATTACCTCGAGTTACTTCTTGTTACTACATTTTTCCAAATTATTGTTTGTAATCATTTTCAGACATAAGTTATAAGACTGCTGGTTTCCACCAGCAGAGATGAAAGTAAAGGAAAATGTGGAATTAGACAATTTCTTCTTTTTTTTCCTTTAATTATTTACTTCTCTTACAAAAGCTGAATTGCAATATACAGGCAACTAGAAAATTTTACAAAACAATCATTAAGCTTACAGGTGAGCAATTACAGAAGAAACTTAGAAGATACAAAAACAAATTACAAAGGAAAAAACAAATTTATGAATTTCCTGCTGTGTATTCATCTCCCTTGTTTGTTTTAAATTATGTAGCCCTCCCAACAACAGTACAAGATGGAAACAGGTAAAAAGGATACTTTGACTTAGAGTTCCACAGAGGATAGTTGCACCTGGATTTGAAACCAGGGTTATAACACCACTTCTCATGGCCTTCCTCCTGCGTAACACTAACAGCCCTTTCAGACTACAGACTTTCTTTGTTGTGGCCCAGTTAGTAATAAAAACTGATTTATGTTGAAGGTGGTAAATATCAATGAGGCCATCTATCAGATATAACACTCTATGATAGTTTTGGTATTACTGAAGGACTAGGGCAAGGTAAGGCACTTTGGCCTCGATTTATCCAACTATTAATATAATATTTGCCTCTGAAGTTGTTATAGGAGTTGACAATATCCAGAAAGATTCTGGGGCTGCGACTCTCTGAACAAATTCCCGAAGTATTTATTTTCCACTCTGATTCTCTTTTAAACAAGCGTTAATGTCAAAATATCCCCGTATTAGAGCAGTGCTTTGCAGACTTCCAGTCCCCAGACTAAGAGTCTCTTGGGGTTCTTAT